AAAAAAAAAAAAAAAAAAAAGGAAAATGCTGTTGAGAATATGAAACAATAGTGTATTCAGAGGTGCATGTAAGGAAAGGGGTACCTGGTGAAGGAAGGTGGACGCCATGGCTGGGGTTTTTGGTCTCACAGAGAGGAGATAAGAAAGAAGACGCGTGCCCTTATCCTCTCTTTTATGAGATTGACGGTTGATTTCAATTTTCAACCCATAGGATAAATTATTTTTTTTACAGCGCTTTGGTATCTATCTATTATTATAATATGAAAAGATAATGATATTTATTTAAAAATAATAATTAAAAATCAATAAAAAAATATTTAATTTTTCGCCTAAAGTATTTAATTATATTGAGTAAGTATTTTTTGCCAAAATTTGAAAAATATCGCTTAAATTAATGTAACTAGTACAGTACATGTGCGATGCACAAGGGTTTATTATATTCGTCCCTTTTAAAAAGCAATTTTCAGTTAAGATTCAAAGTACATACTAAAGGAAAGATCATGTCATTAGTAATTAAGAAATTAATAAATATAATTAAATAAAATTAATGTATTACTTAATATTGTCTTATATACAACGTTCATGGTTTTATTATTTGGCACGTCATCGTCGCTACAGATTCAAACTATTTCTATATGTGACACAGGAGACAACAACAGACAACTAACCATGAGTTAAATTATTAATTAATTCAAGTTAATTGCGAATTAATTAAACAAATTCTTAAAAGAAAACATCACAGCCAGTTGTGTATTTACCTCACACAGAAATTCATTTCTCAAGAACTCGCATAGTGTTCCAATCATCTTTTCAGATTTCCTATCCCAACAAATGAATGTTGCACTTGATGTTGAATCAGACACAATCAAACAAATTTTGTACCTTCACAAAAAAAAAAAAAGAAAAAAAAATAATATTATTGTAATATAAATATACAAACAAAAATTAGGCAATAACCATCAAATATTAATTACCGTTCAATTATTAAACATACCTAAATATGCCAACCTTATGCGCACATTTAGTGCAAGTTAAATGCACATCTTTATCAACAATCTTGTTGTGACAACGTCTGAATGCGAGGTACCACCACTCGTCCACAATTGAATTAATTGTTGCACGACCCAACATTTGAGTTCCTAATAGTCCATTAAAAAAATAAATAAGTACAAAATATATATGTTCATTCTAAAAGTATATAAAATAGAAGCTTGTAGTTAATATAATTAATACAACATCAGATTCATAAAGAGAATCTATAGAATTAACGACCAAATCACCATTCTCAAGCTCCTCCATTTCACTCTTCAACACAATTCTACTGTTAGTGACATATTTCATCTTCTTGAACCATGCGCTTGTTGAAAAGTTGAACATAGACTCATACAATATTTACAAATTTACTAAAATTACATAAATATAATATAATTTGTATAATATAATAGTTACCTCCGCCGGAAATCAATTATTTCCGAAATTGGCTCAACAGCGATTAGACGGGTGACATTCATGTGGGTAGCTAATTGAACCTCACCTGTTATATACAAATATTTATATTAATTAATATTGTAAATAAAACCATACATAAACCAGTTATGTAATTTCTTTTTAAAATAAAAATAAAATTGATGAAGAAATATTTTTAAGTACCTTCCCAAAACCTTGCCCTACATAGTTGCATAATTAGAATCCATGGTTGGCCAGTTGTCTCTGATTCAAATTGTGTTTCAAAAGCAATAAGTTGGTCAATATAATGACCCAACATCGTGCAATGCACGACAATTCCACTGTAAAAGAAATATGTTGATTAATAATCTATTATTAACAACAATACAGAAATAAAAATTTACATTTAATATTTCATACTTACTCCAAATTTATAAGTGAAAAGTCGATCATTTGACTTTTTTCTCCATGAACCAATTTTGATTGCACGGGGTGAACCTCAATCACCATTCCAATAGCATCTAGATTTTAAATTATAATTCATTAATTCATTAAAATTTAATAAAATAATTTATGTAAAATTACGAATACGAATTCATACTAAATTAAAATTTACCAAAAAGGTATGATTCATCAACATTCTCAACATCTTGAAGAATTGCAAAACTACGAAAGTCGAAATGCCGCGTAGGAAAATCTTCGAGCGTTCCCAAAACCTCTATATTGCCATGAATAATTAATTTGTATTTTGCAACTGTAGATTGATATTTATCGATGTTGATGTCTAATTGGTAGTTCCAGATTCTATATACTCATGGAAATAGCCAACCATCTTGGAGACATTAACTCCACGAATTATTCCCGTTATGCGACTCCCCTATTAAAAAAAATAGGTTACTACACAAAGTAACAAATATTGTAAGTAAAAAGATAAATAATCAACAATATAACAACCTCTTCATATAATTTCCACCAAAGTTTGATGAGCAGCATGAAATGTCTTTTTTTCGAATACACATATCGCTTGATGTTTTAGCATGAATCTTTGAGTTCTCTTAACCTGTCTATGAAACCGAAAGGTTGGTCCATGTTTTTTTGTTGTGCGTGCTTAATTTTTTTTTTTTTTTTATTTTGGACGACTTAGAATTGCACGGATGACAATATCGTTGAGTTATTTATATATAGATATAGATGAATTATGATCAATATGAAATTTAATTAATTAATATTTTATTTAATATATCAACATTGTAATGCTTCTCTATTTTTTTGTAGATATCCGAACACTTAATATATTGATATAGTAATATTATATATTTGATATATGGTAATATTATATATTTGATATATGATAATATAATATAAGTTTATTATTAATAAATAAATTCATATATTATTGCATTCGATGTTATCTACTGTATTATAATAATCGAATATCAAATATATTACTAAAGTAGAATTTATTGCTAATGATAGAGTTGTGATTTCAATGTTCAAAGATTTTGCTTTGATTATATTCCAAGTCTTAGTCGAATATTTATTTGTTTTATAGATAAATATCTATAACAACCATTAGTATTTTGTAAAGTTTGGATTCTATGAATCAATAAAATATTCGGTCTGTATTTTAAATACTATAATATTCAAATAATTATTTATTAAACAAATATAAGTTTAGCAATCAAATATTTTGTGAAATGCGAGCTAGATTTTATTGTTAATTCCATTCCAAGAAACCCATTAGTATTTATTCGTAGGATAAATTGTTCAAATTCAAATACTTATCCATATAGTTAGATAATTAACGGATAAATATCAACAACAACCATTAGTATTTTGTATAGTTTGGATTCTATGAATCAATCTTATATTAAGAGAAGATTTTGGTTTGATTCTATTCTTATAGGATAATATCCGATTTATGTGATTATGAATATCTCGTCAATTCCAATCGGATGTCTTTCATATAATCAGTTGCCAAAATTTATGACAATTTCTATGCAAAGCCGTGTACAAATATTAAAATATTGGTAAGGCAATTTTTGTTAAAAAAAAAATTACTGGTAAGACAATTTGGTAAGCCTATTTTGTTGGTAACAAAATGAGACATCTTTAGTAAGACAATTTCAATCATTATCTCCAAAATATTGTAGTATTATGAAAATGGTTAAAGTATAAGTCGAATAGAAATCGGTGTCATTAGTTAATAAAAAATCCGAATTATGTTAAACATGAGAGATATCGGTGTCATTAATTAACAAAATCCGATATTTTTGGTTAAACAATTCCAAAAATAACTTGTCACAGAATCAGCTAGAATTAGTTAAAAAAATCCTATCCAATTTTTTGAGAAGATACATATCAATTACTTATGTTGTGTTTTAAAGCGTGGGATAAATTTAATTTTGAACAGAAATTGAATGCGCACAAATTTCGGTTATATTTGTTAATGAAATCGAAATTAATTTTGCACAGAATCCGCATGGGTTAAGCTTACAAAAAAGTTACATTGATTAATCAAATCGAAATTGTTATTGCACAAAATGCGCATGATTAAATACGCATTATTAACTGCACAAATTGATATTTCACATAATCCATTCTTCTATAATTTGTGGGACATGCATGGTTATAACTTAAAGTAGTAATTATTACTTAAAGTGGTAAGTCGAACATTATTTTTTGAAGTCAAACAAATCCGCATGGGTTAAGCTTACAAAAAAGTTACATTGATTAATCAAATCGAAATTGTTATTGCACAAAATGCGCATGATTAAATACGCATTATTAACTGCACAAATTGATATTTCACATAATCCATTCTTCTATAATTTGTGGGACATGCATGGTTATAACTTAAAGTAGTAATTATTACTTAAAGTGGTAAGTCGAACATTATTTTTTGAAGTCAAACATACTATTTTTTTATTTTTCCAACAACCTCTTTATATTATTATTATTATAGATATAGATTATAGATATAGATATAGATTATAGATAGATTATTTTTTGAAGTCAAACATACTATTTTTTTATTTTTCCAACAACCTCTTTATATTATTATAGATTATAGATTATAGATTAGTGTATAGAATCATTTTGGTCAAATATTGCGTCTATTATTTTTATTAGTTACATGATTTAAATTTGAAATATAATATTTTGACAAAACTTGCAGCTATTACCTTATTAGTTGTATGGTTTAAATTTGGTATATAATATATTGAAAAAAAAAATATAAAGATTTTTATTTAAAATTATAAATAAAAATTAATTATTCATAACTTACGAGTCAATATTAAGATGTATTTATAGTTTAATAAATTACTCAATAACTTACGGGTCAGTATTAATTTGGACGTAAACTAAATAGTCAATTATTTATAGTTTAATATATTACTCAACTACTTAATTTTTTTTATTGGAATAGCTTATACAAAAGTAGATTATTTTAAGTAATGAAACAATACAAATTTTATATTTATACTTAGTATTCACATAGGTTGTTAAATATATGACAACATTTTACCAAAATAGTTGTTTTATGAAATCACATTATAGTCGAATCGAATTATTGATTAATACTTTTGAAATGATACTTATTTTGAAACGAATATAATTTGATTTATTATCAGTTATGTGCACTACACGGGTTGTGTACT